CTCACAATCTAGCTCTTGATCCATGAGCCAGTCGGTTGCATCTCCTTCTGTTGGCAGCTGGCACAGTTAGCAAGTACATGGGGGTAAGCAGGCAGCAAGCATGGGTTCCTGGTTCCCAGTGGAAAATATGTCTAGAACATTAAAACAAAACTGCTGGCATAGAGGATACCTGGTTTACAATACTTCCTTTTGAAATTCTTCAACCTTCACATGACTGTTCGAATTTTTTAAATATCTGGTCTCCAAAGTGACATTAGCCATCTTATTTTTTATTTATTTGTTTTCAATCTTTGCACCCTAGAAGATGCTAATTTCCTGTGGAAACTAAGGTTATAACAAATGTAAAGCCAGCCCACTGACAAGCAAAGCTGGAAATAACCAAATGAGTCTCAAAATTCTTGGGAGTTTTATTAGAAAGAGAAAAAAAGACCTGTCCATAATATCAGTGATTCTAAAGCCCAAGAAGATGCTTGGTCAGGATCAAAGTCTGAAAACAAACTCAAGAGAGCAAGGGCTTCTTCAGGACATTTGATCAGCAAAAATGTTCTGCCACTTAAACTGGAGAGTGTAATGAGCATTTCTATAAGCAATCTTATAACTGCAGAGCTCTAAAATAGCCCAGATGTCACAGAGAAGAGATATTTCTGCATGAAAGCTAATAATGGAGAATGTTTGAAATGAATCCTCAACACATATGACTGCCTTTTAACCTTATCTTGACCTCGATCTTGAAGGATTTCAATAGATTTTTTTTTTCATTCTAAGCTAGGTATCTATCAGTCAAGACAATAGTTCCAACAGCATTAGACACTTGTTCTAAGCTGGTCTAAGCTTTGAACTGATAATCAATTAAAAGCAGTGGTTTTCTGTACATGCTATTTCAGAAGAAAAAGCCAAAAATCATACCCTAGGCATTCTGTTTTTAATTGAAAGAAGACTGCATACTAGTTTGGATTTTAAAACATTTCTATTTTCCCTAAGTAAATAGGTTAATGGATACTAATGGCTTATTTCAGTAATACTCCTAAAACTTCACATTTAGTCTTACATAGGAACTGCATTTGTGATACATAACAGAACTTCTTCATGGAGTTACCATCATTAAAAGTTTTATGTTAAAAAAATCCTAAAAGTATTCCAAAAAATGAATCCTGGCATAAGCAATTAATGGTGTGAGTTCCTAAAAGCATCAAGAAACATCACAAACAGTGTGCTTCTGTGAAGGTGCGATATCTCCAAACTAAACAACTCAACAGGAAAAATCCCAGCCTGAAACATGGTCATATTCAAATTAATTTATCTCTCTTTCATGTTTCTTAAACTCTGCCACTCAACTGCATGACACTTTAAAATTTTTAGCACAAACTAAATGATTGGTATGACCAAAATTTTTGCTTAAGATGAACACCACTTTCTGTCTTTTCACTCTGATCGCATTTGATCAGATTTATTTATCTCTCTGAGATGACCTAGAGTTTCCCATCAGAGCCTATGTGGGTATTTGACATCAGTTATATTTTTAGATACACTATGTCTTAAAAAACAGTTAATGTACTCTAACTGAAAAATACTTTATCACTAAAATATGCCAATCATCATCTAAGCCTTCAGCAACTTGTAATCTTTTTCCTGGTGGAGGGTCTTGCCTCAATGTTGATGGTCACTACTGGCCACTCAATGTTGATGGCCACCACTTGGTTGCTCAAGGTTGAGGTACTTATGGTAATTTCTTTCTTTTTTTTGAGACGGAGTCTCGCTGTGTCGCCCAGGCTGAAGTGCAGTGGCATGATATTGGCTCACTGCAAGCCCTGTCTCTTGGGTTCACACCATTCTCCTGCCTTAGCCTCCCGAGTAGCTGGGACTACAGGTGCCCGCCACCATGCCTGGCTAATTTTTTGTATTTTTAGTAGATACTGGGTTTCACCATGTTAGCCAGGATGATCTCAATCTCCTGACCTCATGATCCGCCCGCTTCGGCCTCCCAAAGTGCTGGGATTACAGGTGTGAGCCACCATGCCTGGCTAGCTATGGTAATTTCTTAAAATAAGACAATGATGAAGCTTGCCACAATGATTGTCTCTTCCTTTCACAAAAGATTTCTCTGTGGCATGCAATGCTGTTTGATGGCATTTTATGCACAGTAGGAATTATCTTAAAATTGAACTGAGTAAGGCCAGGCACAGTGTTGCTTGCCTGTAATCCCAGCATTTTGGGAGGCCGAGGCGGGTGGATCACCTGAGGTCAGGAGTTAGTGACCAGCCTGAATAACAAGGTGAAAGCTCATCTCTACTTTAAAAAAAACAAAAAGCAAAAAAACAACAAAAAAAGCTGGTTGTGGTGGTGCATGCCTGTAATCTGAGCTATTTGTGAGGCTGAGACAGGAGAATTGCTTGTACCTGGGAGGAAGAGGTTGCAGTGAGCCAAAATTGCGCCATTGCACTCCAGCTTGGGCAACAAGAGCGAAACTCCATCTCAAAAACAAACAAACAAAAAATTGAACTCAATACTCTCAAACCTGCTTCCATCTCAAGAAGCCACTTTCTTTTTTTAATAAATAAGATGCAACTTCTCATTTGTTCAAGTTTCTCATGAGATTGTAGTTAAGTCACATCTTCAGTCTCCACTTCTAGTTCTCTTGACATTTCTACCACATCTTTAGTTACTTCCTCCACTGAAGTCTTGAACCCCTGAAAGTCATCCATGAGGGTTGGAATTAACTTATTTCAAACCCTTGCTAATGTTGATATTTTGACCTTCTTTCTTGAATATTCTTAATGTCATCTAGAATAGTCAATCCTTTCCATATTTTCAGTTTACTTTGCCCAGATTCATCAGAGGATGACATCACTATCTATGGCAGTTACAGTGTTAGAAAATATATTTCTTAAATAGAAAGACTTGAAAGTCAAAATTACTCCCTGATCCATTGTCTGCAGAATAGATGTGTTAGCAGGCATGAAGGCAACATTACATTCCTTGTACATCTCCATCATAACTCTTGAAAGACCAGGTGCATTGTCAATAAGCAGTAATATTTTGAAAAGAATCATTTTTTTTCTGAGTAGGTCTCAACAGTGGGCTTAAAATATTCAGTAAACAATGCTATAAACAGACGTGCTATAATACAGGCTTTGTTGTGCCATTTACAGAGCACAGGTAGGGTAGCCTTGACTAATTCTTAAGAGCACTATGATTCTTGGAATAGTAAATGAGCATTGTCTTCAACTTAAAGTCACCAGCTGCATTAGCCCCTAACAAGAGAGCCAGCTTGTCCTTTGAAGTCAGGCATTGACTTCTCCCCTCTAGCTATGAAAATGCTAAATGGCCTCATCTTCTAACAGAAGGCTGTTTTGTCTACATTGAAAATCTGTTGCTTAGTGTAGCCACCTTCATCAGTGATCTTAGCTAGATCTTCTGGATAACTTGCTGCAGCTTTTACATCAGTACTTGCTGCTTCACCTTGCACATTAATGTAATGGAAACAGCTTGTTTCCTTAAACCTCATGAATCAGCCTCTGCTAAGGTCCAATTTTCCTTTTGCAGCTTTCTCACTTCTCTCAGCATCAGTAGAATTGAAGAAATCTAGTACTTTGCTCTGGACTAGGCTCTGGCTTAAGGGAATGTTATGGCTGGTTTGATCTTCCATCCAGACCATCAAAACTTTCTCCTTATCAGCAATAAGGCTGTTTCAGTTTCTTATCATTCATGTGTCCACTGGAGTAGCAATTTTAATTTCCTTCAAGAACTTTTCCTTTGAATTCACAACTAGGCACAAGACGCCTAGATTTCAGCCTATCTCAGATTTCAACATACCTTCCTCACTAAACTTAAACATAGCTAGCTTCTGATTTAAAGTATGATTTAGTATGCAACTCTTCCTATCACGTGAACACATAGAGGCTATTGTAGGTCTATTAATTGGCCTAATTCCAATATTGTTGTGTTTTAGGGGATAGGGACGCCTGAGAAAAGGGAAACAGACAGGGGAATAGTGGGTCAGTGGAATAGTCAGAACCACATTTACTAAGTTAGTCCACTATCTTTTATGGGCATAGTACATAGCACCCCAAAACAATTATAGTAGTAATCACTGATCACAGATCACCATTACAGATAGAATAATAGTAAAAAGGTTTGAAATACTGTGAGAATTATCAAAGCGTGACACAGAGACATGAAATGAGGACATGCTGTTGGGAAAATGGTGCCAACAGACTTGCTTGATGCAGGGTTCCCACAAAACTTCAATTTGTAAAAAATGCAGTATTTTCAAAGCATAGTAAAATGAAGTGCAAGAAAGTAAGGTATGCTTATATTACCTTTTCATCTGGGGACTTGCCAATGAACCAGGAGAGAGAGAGAAAAAAGGACTATTTTGTTTTCCTTTAGATATATATTTTTTAATTCTAGCATCCCCACATCAATGTCTCCACTACTTCTTCCTTCCTCAAATTGTCTTCTAAAGAGTAATTTTTTTTTTTTTTTACTTTTTCTGGAAATACTTGGGTCAGCAACATTTTCTCAGAGTAACCGTCGACAGAATGGAGAATGATGCTCTTGCCAAAGATTTGTTTCTAAGGATGCCTTTCAAACATTTCTTTCCTTTTTGAAAAATGGTGCTCCCTGGTTGGTGGTTCTCAAATGCCACTCTTTCAAACCTTTTCCTGATGAGTGGCTGTAAAGAGCAGAACTGACTAATTCTGGTGTTTTAAATAAACATCTCTAAACATAGTTTCTCTCATTTCATAAATAGTTATTTTCCAAAGGAACAAATGTAAATGTTATATATATGTGTGTGTGTGTGTGTGTGTGTGTGTGTGTGTTTTCTATAAAGGCTAGATATGCAATAAAAGAGAGTCGGTGGGATAGTCGATTGTATTGGAAACAGAGACACTTAAGAAAACCTAGTTATATTTGACTTGCTGCCTCGTTTTTCCATATAAACAAGCCCAAATGGTCTAAGAGTCTGCAATCATTAGATGTAGTTAGTGGCCTCATACCTTCATCTTTACAGTCTTCCACTGCCTCTTCAGAAGCGGGGCCAGGCACCGTGACAGTGTTGACACCATCTATAAAGCAGAAAAAGAAACACTGCCTCAGAGTTCATCCTTCTAGAAGTCAGGCTGTGGCTTTCCTGCCCTGCACCTCCCTCCACTCTCCACCAGAGAAAGCATGAGCCTGCAGCACGCTTGAATACACTGAATGCTCTTTGAAGGGGCTAGTGCTTTGGGAATCTCTTTTATAGTTAGTGAAACAGGAACCTTCAGTTAAGTCAGAGACCAGTGGGCTACAATCTATTTTTTGGTGAAAAATGCTACTTGTTGCTAGTAGTATCCTTTGGCATTTTGTTTCTTCCTCATTCCTCAAAGGATGGTATATTATTTTTCTTGGTAACAGATTGTGAAAGAAAGTATATCCTTGCAAGTTCTTACAAAGTGCTTTTGTGTGTGTGTTTGTAAAGTTTGTTTTTTTCTTAGCACAGCACTACTGCTCCGTTATGCCAGGCTGTCAAACTGCAGGGAGCAGCTCTGATGGCTGTCAGCACAGAGGCCGGGAAGAAGGGGAGCATTTGGCACGGGGCACCAGCAGCCACCAGGAACTTTCATGTCACCAGAGAACAGAAGGGGAAAATGGGGACTAAGGACGTGGAACTTTCTGTTCCTCTCACAGCACCAATTAACTGCATTAGAGTAGACCTCTCTTCTCAGTGTCATCAGCCCCTAGTGACTCTAGTCATGTTTGGCCTCCAGGATAAGGGCTAACTAGTCTACTCCCTCCCATTCAAACAGTAAATCTAGACAAGCAGGATTGCTAAAATCATTTGCAATGTTTAATACCTGATAACTGGAAAAGGAATATACATATATATATATACACACACACACACACACACACGTTTTGGACAAAAGATGGGCTAGAAAAGATGTGATCTGTGATTTGATTCCAAATGTGTGTTAGTTTTTATGCATATATGAGTTATCTTTAGTTCCATAACCCTGTTACTATAGAAAAAAGTATTTATAGAGTGCGCATGTGTATATATATATACACACACACACTATATATATAGTTTATATGTATAAATATATATAAACTATAGAGGATATGTAGTATACATATACATATAGAGTGTATATATAGTTTTTCATGTAGTAGCAGGGAATATGTATAGTTATACAGTTATATATAATAGTTATATATAGTTATATACATATAGTATATATAGTTTACATGTATAAATATACTATATATAAACTATAG